TCTATTATTTATAATAAAGGAGTAATTATTGAGTAAATCAGGCCAATCAGCGCCGACCTTTAGCCAGGCGCACGTCAGTGAGCCACGCGCCTGGTGTGTGTGAGCACTCCGCGCAGTTCACTGACGTGTGTCTGGCTAAAGGTGGGCGCTGATTGGCCTGATTTACTCAATAATTACTCTTTTATTATAAATAATAGAAAAAAATGGTTCAGGATTTTTCGACTCAGTTTTATTCCTTCTACCTGCCTACGAGAGATTGTACGGCAATTCTGGGACACCCTGTATACACACACACACACACGCGTGTTTTACGTGTTTATATTTTTTGTTTAAGCACCGCGTGCTCAACAATGTTCCCAGGATGGAAGGTCAAATGACGTAAAGAGAAAAAATAATAATTCACGTAACGTACGGCTGCGGTTCCGACTGTCCGATTTCTTTGGTTGGATCGCTCTGGTTGTCTATCTTATGGTCGTACAAATGATCGGCGAGCGTGATGGGATGTCTGCAAGTAATGGGAACGTGGCAAATTTTGCACAACACCACGTGCGTTATGCAACGTTTGTTGAATTCATTCATCACCCAAAGCGGATCCGAGCTCATTCTCGTGTAACTATCGACGTCGCAATTATTTCGAAGATCGTGCCAATGATGATCCATAAAGTGACGATAGAGATCCGACGTCCTCGTACATTGCAAGTACAAATGGCAGTGCTTGCATTCCACCATAGTTTTCGCTTCCGTTTCCACAAAATATTCCCACACCCACTTGCAGACATCCCAATTGTCGGAGAGATTCATCGCTTGTTGTTCGTCGCAAATTTCGTAATCGAGAGAATTAGAGGAGAAGCTTTTCCGTTACGTTTCTCGAAGCCGAACTTCGCGCACAAAAGAAAAGTCTATTCCCGCGAGAGGAGCGGCGTCGTGAGAACATCAAGGAAACGAACACGCGCTCACAGTGCGAATGCGTGAACACACGCGTTGTGTTCGATCACATGATCTCGATCTCACGCGCCGACGTGGTCTCAAAACCGGTTAGGGAAGGGCATTTTTCTCTCTTGAAATTTGAAATATTTATTTTTTACACAGTAATAATATGTGCAATTTGTAAACAAAAAAAATTTATTTTACATACATCGCACGCGTTTCTCTCTCGAATGTTTAAAATGTAATTTTGTATATTTTATTTTATTCTCATTTTTCCTCGAACTCTTATGAAGTGTACACGCGACTGTCAGATCCACCGCGCATGTGCGAGATACGTCTCGGAAAATTTTTTTTCGACCGGAAAACGGAAAATACACTTTCCGCCATGGTCATTGGCTGTTCACAGAGGCCGTGAACGCAAAGATCCGCCAGATGTCTTTTCGGAATGGGAACAGAATCGAGAGATCGATCCGTCGAAAGCGCGTGATCGCGAGCCTTTCGACACGCGAAACCTACCTCGAGTTATTCAACTCCACTTTTTACAAAAAAAAAGCCAATTATCTTCAAAATACAAAAAACGTTTGTTTGGAAGAAAATTTATTTTCTCCGATATTCGAATTTATTTATTTGTTTATTTATTTTGTTGTTGTTTTTTTTTCTATTATCAAGCGTGCTTTTTGTTTTCTTTCGCGAACAGGCATCTCGACCCTCGCGAGCTGCGGCGAGGTCGACGCGCTGCCCGAGTTGCCGGCGCAAGATGAGGAACGTCTGCAGCGTGCCGCGCGTCTGCTGCAGCAGAGACTGGTGCTACGTCAATGGCTGACGGATCACGGCCTACAAAATTATTATCAAAGGTGAGAACAAGGTCAAACAGGATAGTGTCTTCAAGAACCTCGCGCGTTGCCGACTGCTCGGACTGCTATCACAAATAATTGTCACGTTATTTTGTTATTTAAGGACGTTCTCCGACTACAGTGGTTAGCAACCTAAATACAGTGGTTGGCAACCTAAAATATCTCTTCTCATGAGTAAGTTTGTACTGCTGTAACAAAGTTAAGTTGAGCTATTCAGCACTGCTAAGACCCGCTTACTC